ATGGTGTATTTGCTTCTTAAATCTCCTGAATAGTTACTCCATAAGGAAACAGATAAATTGGATCACTTTTTTATTAATATAGCAAAAAAATTAAAGGACCCATTAACTAAACAGATTGACTCCTGGCCACTTGTGTGTTATCACTGATGAAAAGARCTAACGAAGTCCTGTTGTACCTGATGGGTGTGCATGATGTGATGGGGAGARCAGAGCCAGGGTAACCTGATGTTTGCAAAGCAATCGGATGCAAGGCCTGGGATACTGATTGTAACAACCTTCTACAAGCCCAAGGTACTTCATTGTTGAGGATCATTTATTACTGATTCAGACCAAATCCTTCCCAGGGAGCAAGAGGAGACTGGTGTGAGATGGTCCAAGGCACTGTGYCCTTCTCACTCAGAGCACAAGGAGAAGGGTGAAACAATCCTATCAGTGTGAGTGAACTGAGACTGAAGCAGCTGCTGAATGTTTTCAATAGAMTTCCTGGTAAAGGCTGGTACAATTTCATGAGGGCTTCTCATTTTATTTAATAAAGCATTGGATTATTTTATTTGTAATTCAGCAACAGGTGCAGGAAAACAAAAGGCACATTTCCTGATAGTGTCCACAAAGAGTCCATTACTGCCTGGCTAACACAGAGGCATTCGCTTTGCCATGTGTGCACTTTTTTTGGTATGTGAAAATAACCACTCAAGGAAAAAAAAAATCTGATAAAAGACTGAGAGAGGAATTACTTTAGGGTTAGYAACAGCACTGTGCAAACGGTTTCAGTGCAAGTTGAAGAGGGAACTAACAGTACTGGGTAAACACTGATCCTGCTTTAGATAAAGATTTTCTGCMGGTGGTAACCACCATTAATCTTTACAATGTGCAGCAGAAGGCGAACACAGAAAAGGCTCAGCTTGTGGTCCCTGAAAGTCCCCTGTAACCTGGRCCCAGTGAAGGATGGAGGTGCTTACAAGAGAGATACTGGCAGTTTACCTTTGCTARTCAATAAAAACACAGAGCAGAGTCCTGGGTGACTCTCACTAGCCTTCACAGTAAATTCTTATTTTCTCTTTCTGGCATGTGAGTGTTCAACCAGTAATTAGGCTGTTTGTTGGGAGTCAGGGGATGGAGTTTCGAGTTCTTCACACTGAGGGTGGGATTGAAATTACATTTTCCCCCCTTTTTAGATTAATTTTAAATGAAAGTGCCACAACAGAATTTGTCTAAAATTGTAGTCTACCAGGAGGTAGTAATATACTAAAAGGTTACAAAAGATTCTTAGCCCTGCTTTGGTGTTTGTGAGCAACACAAGGAGAGTCTGATCACACCCTGTACTCCACCTTGGTTTCAGTCTTAATTTTAGTTTGTGTTACAGTGACCAGCAAACCACAGGCTAAGTTTTTTAAATCACTGGTTCATGTTATGTAGTACTTAGGGCCTTGCTCATATCATCTTTCTTCCAGTTCCCTGAAAAATTATTTGTGTCAAAGACAAGACAAAAAACCACCAGCACTGCAGTAACATAATGAGCATCAGGAAAGGTTATACCTTGGGCAGTGACAGCACACAGCAGGGACACAAACCAAGAAACACCACTCTGGAAAATTCAGCAAGGCTGACATCAGCTCTGTACTGCATTTTCTGGATTTTCACTGAATAARCAAAACTAGAATTCTATAACCAGATGCCTTCAAATTAAAATKACTATGAAAATATGTTTCTTCTCAACAAGATCTTCCTAAGAACAAACTTGTTACTTTTAAGAGGAGCACCTCAAGGGATCMAAATGGAGATCCAGCACATATTATCTGTGCTTTTAAAATATTCTTGAAAAGTAAATGAAAACTTCTTGCAAATGGGACACTGGTCATGCATTTCCTTCTTTAAARGTAAAGTTAATTAAAATTGAAGTTGGTTAAATAGTTTACTGGTTATATATTCTATCAGTTAAATATTCTGTTAAAAATTATAAAATCTTCATAAAATCTGTCTCTCTGAGCCACACAGCCTTTCAGGAACAGCAGCTCCACAACGCTTGCCATTGCAAAACTCGGGTTGCTAATCCAGCGCTGACGAGGCACAAACTCTGACAGAGCATTAAACAGGCTCAGCAGGGCAACACCCAGTTAAAGGCACATCCAGGGAAAAGGGGCGGGTGCAGGTAAAGACTGGCGCTCACCCCACAGACAAATGTGTCCCAGAGAGCATTCCATAGGGACTGTGGGCCACTGCCCATGGCTATGGTGTCCATACACTCCCAGGAGAGTCAGCCCCAGCCCCTTGCTGCTCAGGAGAGGGAATGTTCATAATCATTTGTGCAGCTCAGTGTGCAGCTTTGCCCACACATGACACCAAAATGCAAAAAGGTGCATTTGATCTCCCTGTCTTCGCCCACGTGGCTTGAACTGTCCAAGATGCCAACGTAAGATTGCCTGAAGTACACAGAGGTGAGGTTTAAATTTACTCCTCTGCTTAACGTAATAAAGAGACAGGTGGYAATGAGTTCTAAGGCACAGGATGTCTCAAACAGGAAGAGCAGGGGGAAAGTAAACACTCAGTTTTAACTGCACAGGAAGCACAGCCCATACTCCTCTGTGTAAAGGAGTTGTACGCATGATCTGCACCTGCCCCTKTCTGAAGGAAACCTCCTGCCCTAAATCACACAACAGCAACATKCAGGGACTCTCCTGGTCCCCACGGCTCTTCCTAAGTGACTTCAGAGGCCRCAGTGACCTGTGAGGCTGCAGTGCTGAGCTCCAGTACAGCARGGAGGAGAGGGCAGAGCCCAACCCCTGCTCCATGAGCACAGCTGATTCAGTCACTTCTTCTTTCAGAAAATGGTCAAGTTAGATTTGAAATTAGAGGTGATCTTTTTCTTGTTCCTTCACCCGTTGTCCTAAAATCCTACCCTTACAGTTAAGTTCGACAAAAGAACTCGGAGTATGAGCTACCAGCAGCAGGAAACAGCCCTGAAGAAGGAAGGAAGCCTCACTGCAAGTATTTGGCAACAGCTGAGGACACAGAAACACCACTTGAGCTTTTAATAAACAAACAGCTTCTATAAGATATTTTCTGGATTTTCTGATGCCTCCTGGAGGAGGAGTCTCCTGTCTCATTTTCACACACAGCTGCCTGCATGCAAATATAAACTAATTTATTAAACCTTTCAATTGCTGCTCATGAACATAAATGCAGCCTCTCTAAGGAAGCAGCGTGGGCTCAAGTCATTGGTGTTTTTCAAGTTCTTGCAACTTTTCCTGTGAAGAAAGAGCCTCATCCAACAGCCCTTATCCAACATGGAGTTAGCAGCTTCCAACACAGAGAGAAGGACCCRCCAGTGCAAAACCCTGCTTTTGGTTTACAGGCATCCCATCTTGCACCATCATTTCTCTGGGATGGAAGATGAGATGCAGCACTCAGGAGCAGAAAAAAGAGTAATCAGTGAGTAAGAAGCAAACTTTCAAACAAGCACAAGGTGGTGGAGGAAAAGGGAAGCTGAAAGCAGCCACAACATGAACCAGGGATGCAAAGTGGGCAGCTCTGTGCTCTGTGGGCCACACTGAGGAACTCACCCTGAAGGTTCACTGGGCACAGTCTGAAGGTCATGCACTCAATGGGATTTTTATCAGCAGAAAAGTATATCTGAACTATCCCTGTCCCTTCCTTGTTCCTCATTTCCACCATCCGGGCATTTCCTCACATAGGCCTGTGCAGCAGATTCTGCTGTCAGAAAGASAGACGTGAACAGAAACAAACCCAGACATCCAAACAATTCATTTGYTCCCACTGGGAAAATCACTCCCACTGCTTTGCCTTGGGTGAGAACTAAGAAGAAAAATACCATAAAGGCATCAGTATTCAGACACTTGAGGGTGGACAGGGTGCTCAGAAGGTGCCATACCCCTCTCAGGTGTAAATATTTTCTTCTTATACTCCAGTTTGTGCAGTCCTAGTAAGCACTGTGTGGATAAATAACTATGGCCACCATGAATGCTGCTGAAGATTACTTTAAGCTGACAGGTTTTACAG